CACACACACACACACACACATACCATCTGCTCCTGGGCTGTGCGCTTCTCTCGGCAGTATATCGAGACTTTGAAGGCCCTCTTCCCCGAGGGCGAGGAAGAGCAGCACGAGGCGGACGCGCCTCCTTCGCAGGCGGCCAGCACTGGCGCCGATGACGAGCCAGCGGTCGTGCCGGCCTTCAAGATTGGTGACAAGGTGGACGCCCTGTACAGCGCGGACAACCTCTGGTATCCGGGCGAAATCACTGCCATCTCCGGCGGCGGTCGCATGTACACGGTCCTTTATGAGGGGGTGCGTTTCGGGCTGTCACATTTTTCCATCCTCCCTCTCTCGCCCTCTGTATACTTGTGTATATATGTGCATGCATATGCCCATATCCATATTTCCTGCCCCCCCCCCCCCTCCATGGTCCCGCTATTCCGATTCGCTGACTGACATGCCGCCCTGTCGGTGGGTTTCTGGCGACGCAGTACAACAATTCCGAAATCCAGACACTGGACACCATTCGCGCATCAACACGCGCCGAGTCTCCTTCGACCGTGGATGCCACGCAAACCAGTACGACTGGCGCTCTTTTTTTTTTCCCCTGCACACACACACACCCCTGTCACTCACACCCATCCCCGCCTTTTGCACACCATAGAGCCGGCCACCAGCGACGCGCCGCCCCCCAGCCGGGCCAAGAACATCCCCCCGACAAAGGTCCTGAAGGCCCGCCAAAGCGAATGGCAGGCATACCAGAGCCAGCGGCGCGTGCGCGGCCCTGGCACTGGCATGCTTGGCAAGAGCATCTTCTCCTCCCCTGCCACGGCTGCCGGTGCGCATTGCTGTCCTGTCCTCCTGACTCCTTCCTGGGCGCGCGCGCGCGTGCGCATGGATATGTTGCCGCTCGCCGCACATACTGACACTTGGATCCCTCCTTTCGCCGCCCCCCCCCCCTCCCCTCCCACACACGCACACACACACACACACACACACACACACACACAGGCCGCGTTGGTGTGATTGGCAGCGGTCGGCAGGCTACCGGCCTGTACCAGGCCCGTCGACACACTTTCAACAACCTTCCGCCCTCCGGAACCGGGCCCTCGAGCTCCCTGGACCCTGCCGCTCGGCGCTGAGAGCCCTCGGGGCTTGCTCCCGCCGTGTTACTCCACTCCACGCGTGTGCCCCTGTGCAGCCCTCCCTCGAAGAAAAATAATACACAAAATCCCCAGACAGACCGGCGCCTCGGCAGACAGAGCAACAACGCAGTCCCCATGTGGTGAAAGGGCGCCCCATGCCCGGGACAGTGGGCAAGGGAATGGATGTGTATGACCCCTCCGCGGGCCCAAGCGCTAGTTGTGAGTGGGCTCACTGTGGCGGACTTTCTCGAAGACAATGGACCAGTTTTCTTTTTCCCAGCCAACCGACCGGATGTGCAGGCTCTCGGCGCCGGTGGTGCTGGCGGCCAGCTGCATGGAGGCCATTTGGACCAGGTTCTCCAGCTCGAACTCCCGGAAAAAGTGGTAGTACCGGGTGAGATCCCGGTCGGACGCGGGGGATTGTTTTTGCGGCGGCTGTTGGGCGTGCGGCGCCTCGCGGGGAAGTTGCCAGCCCACCAGGAGATCCTGCTCGTTCTCGATGATCGGCTCGGTCGGGGCTGCTTGCCGGGCTTCGGCGCAAATGTGGCACAGCACGGGCCCGGTCGCCGGCATGGGGCGCTCCAAACCCGGGCAAGAGGAGGCGAAAAGCGCCCTGAATCCGGCCCTTGAGCCGGCAGATGTGTCCGAGCAGCCAGGACAAGTGCCGGGCCGGGACCCAGGCAGAGCCCAGGCAGTTACCAGACCCACGCCCCCGATGCCCAGGACGCGGGCCATTTCCTGCAGCCCGGGGAATGTCAGCACCAATGCCGAGCGGCGATCTTCTCGCACGAGGGAGGAGGGGGGCAGGTGGAGAAAGAGAGAGGGAGGGAGAAAGCATGGGGGGGGGGGGGGGTGCGCACCAGGATGGATGCAATGCGGCGTTGGGTGGTCATGAAGTGGTGGATAACCGCAATCGAAATGCATGCGTCCTACATCGCAAGGCAAGCGGCGATGGTCAGGCAGGCGCGTGGACACGAAGGTGCCAGGAGGTCACAACGAGAGCGTACAAAGAGGCCTGCCCGGTGGGGAAGGGCCAGGCTGTGGGCAACGGCCACTTCGTTCGGCGGCACGCCGGGGAGGTGGTTTTCCGCAGCAAGCTCTGCCAGAGGCCGGCAGAGGTCACTCCCGACCATGATCAGCGGCAGAGGGGAGAAGTCCTCCGAGACAAAGCGCGTGGACTTTTGCTCGCGCACGGTGCGCACCACCGGCCGCCGGGGCGCACACCCCGCCCCGGAGAGAGGTGCCAGAGACATATACCGACCATTGCCGCAGCCGGCATCCAGGACCAGCGACCCGGCTGGCAGGGCCCCGAGGAAGGCACGAATGCCGGGCCATGTCTGCGCCGCGGCCGGGTCCACCCCCCCGGCCCCGTCCAGCCAGACACACATGTGTTAATCTCGAGGGAAGGTCCACGACCGGGCGCACTGAGAGGGCAACGCACCCCGGCGCGAGTGGCGCTGAAGCTACCGGCAATCGCGTCATACACTTCGTGCACATACTTCCGCTCCTCGCGCCGGGCGACCAGCTCGAGGTCCGCCTGCTGCGGGGGGGAGCCCCCCTCGGGGGCTGCGGCCATGCGGAAACGCGACCGGCGCTTGCTCATGCTGTGACTGGCGGAGGTAGGGGGTTCGGGAAAGAGGCCCAAGTGTCCGCGCGCGCGGGGGAGAGGGAGGGCGAGGGGGGGGGGAGGGGGGCGAAAGGGGCGCGTGAGAGGGGCGAGGGCACGGGGAAAGTGGCAGCAGGTGTGGCCCACACGGCGCATGGGCTGGGGTGCTTTTCTGGCGAGGGCATTTTCAAGCGTTCCCCTCGCCTCGCCCCGGCAGGACGCAGATCGCGGCGCTAGCGCCAAGATTGGGTGCCAACGAATGGGCCTCGCCCACGCGCGGGCGCGTTCCGCCGGCCTGGCGTGGGTGCGCATCCCCCCCCCCCCCCCCCCCCCCACTCTCCCGCTCTTTCCCTCGTCCTCCTTCTGCCTCCCCCGAACCCCCCTGTGCGGCGCTCGGTCTGCCTGGCTCGCCTGTGGCTGTGGAGGTGTTGTATTGCCTTCTGGTCCCCGCCCAAGGAAACCCGCTCTTACGCACAGCGAGCGGCTGGCCCGCGTGCGCATATGGACACCGCTGCCCCTGTGCATGCAGGCGCACACATGGGTGCGCTGGCCTCTCGACACATGGCCAGCCGCCGTGCAGCAGGAAGACACAGGCACGAAGGAGAGATGGACGAGAGAGCGAGGGAGAGGGGAGGGGGTATGTGTGTGGAAGAGGAAGGCAGAAAGCCCTCGCAGGGTAAGCTGCGGGATTACTCGGCGGCAGCCGGGGCAGCCGCGTCGCCGGTAGCCGCGTCGCCGGCAGCTGCGTCAGCTCCGCCGCTGCTCTCGGCCGTGGCCGGGGAGAAGTGCTCACCCTCCTCGCGGAAAAGAATCCGCGCACCGGTAAGGGTGACATAAAGGAGATGGAATTCCTGTGGACATGCAGAGATGTGTGCGCGGGTGCATGAGGCGCAAGTGTACGCGGGCACAGGGGACAGGATCGAGGGCGAGGGGATATGTCAGTCATTGGCGACACAGGGGGGGGGGGAACGGGGCGCGAGGGCGGGATGGGCCCAGGTGTGCGCACCTTGCGATACAGGTCCAGCTTCTTCTTGGCCAGGATGGTCGACTGACGCTGATCCTGGCTATTGAGGCGGCCACCGCCGCCCAGGGTGCTGGAAGACACCAGCAGGTCCGAGGCTCCGACACCGCCGAGGCTGCCGAGGTTGGCGTCACCACCGGAGCCCAGGCTGCCGGAGGCCGCGGCCTGGTCGATGCGTCGAGCCGCCTGCTCATAGTGGTTGTGCACCGATGAGAACCAGTGCAGCGCATCGAACTTGCTGTCGAGGTCCAGCAACTTCAGGGCGTACGCCACACCCAGGGCAAATCCGTCATCGGTGAAGGCCGCGCCATCCGGGCGATTCTTGTCCAGGCGATCCTTCGAAGCCACCATGTGCTCCACATGCGACAGGGTCAGCGCCGGGACCAGCAGGTAGAAGTGCTTCAGGTGGACGTTACGCGGGTGGCGCGAACCGGCCGCAAAGGCGTCCACCAGGTTCCGGAAGTAATCCGTGCTGGAGGAGAAGGTCTCCATCAGGTTCTCCAAGGTGGCATCCATATTCCTGCGTGCGT